TAGAACGTCATAAGAAAGACTTAGTGTCGGATCGAATCCAGATGAAGCACTTTTAGAGGCCAGATAATCATCGAGGTTAAGAACTGTGATGTTTTGGGGCTTTAGGTTTGTGCCGCTAAGATTCACGGTCAGAATGGATATCTGGCGCCAGGACAATCGGTTTTTAACGTCCTGGACATCCGTGCCCGGGCCGCGATTAGAGGGTGCGGCAATGGAGGGTAAGGTAACGGTAGTATTGGGCTGTTGAATATCTATGAAAAGAGAATAGGACGAGGCCCAGGTTATGTTGTCGAGGAAGTTTATCTCAGTCGTTAGAGGTGTATAGAGGTTCAACAGGCTTACTTTGAAATGGGCTAGTAGAGGGGAAATGATCTCTTGAATAGATGCGGTGAGGTATAGGAGAGTCACATGAATGGAATATTTCGGCTTATCAATTGATTGGATGTTGGATCGGAATGTTTCTTGTAGGACTTTGTTCGTGGTCCAGGGCATGCAATTTGCAGGATCTTCATTGAACAGATTTAGATAGATGTGTGTGTTGGGCTGGCTCGGGGGGAGTTCAAGCAATGATAGATATTTAGATAGGATAAGGAAGCAATTGGCATGGTCGACCTTCAAAATCCGGATATTGCTCACACTCTGTCTGATCTTACTAAACTTATTCAAAGCCGTCAGAAGTATTTCCAAATTATCCGTTGACCACTCCGTGTCTAGACAGCACACAAACTCGTCGTCTCCAAGACTAGACAGCTCATACTTATCTGAGCTAGGGCTTTTATGGATCCTAAGCAGTTCTTGCGGGTTGTTGGACACATTGCTTTCTGTGTCTTCAGAAGTATACCGTTGTATGAACTTAAAAAGCAGCTCTGTCTCCTTATCATTTAGAACCACATTCCAATCTACTTGTTGCTGATTATCGGGAGTATCTAGATGGGCTGGTTTGGCGAGTTCCGACGGTTCATTTAGTTCTCTAGTCGAATCATTTAAAACGGAGGGAGACATTTCCTCATTCAGATCAGTGCTACTGACTTGTTGATTGGCTAAGGTGGCATGAGGTGGGTCCTGCTGGACTTCGGATGTGCCTAAACATATAATGTTTTTGGTTTGCTCGGTCTGCTTGGTTGCTTTGGGTATTGGCCGTACTAATGAGATATTTGCCAACTTCCCTGTTAGTTGCCACCAATGGGCCTGGTTGAGTTTGCCGCTAACATACCAATTCTCTCGATTCATTGCGATATCAAGCAGGTCGTCCAGATTAGCAATCTCGCCGGGATACGGTGTCTCCGCAAAGACAAAATCGACGATTTCCCCCTGGGCAATAAAGAACATCTGGATTGAGGCTAAATTGGCAAGGGCGTCTAATACTATGCTTGGGGTTGTCTCTGGAATAGAGGCCATACGCTCTTTGTAAGACTGGTGTAAAACTGAGTCTGGCTGTTTGTAAGACGCCTTGATCGCCCGAAAGAAACCTTCCACTAGATCTAGAGCCTCGAAATTCTGGATATTAGCTGCATCATCTACTTCCATGGTTATTTCAATGCCTAGCATGGTTTCGAGAGAGGTTAAAGAGATGTTTTTGATGTGGATGGCATTGCTAGAGTGAGTTAGATGGTAATCAGTATATATTTTGTTGCTGCAGTGGAGTAGATGATATAAGTCGGATAGTGATTGCATATTGTTGGCTCTGATGGCATCAATCAGTGGAACAATAAGAGTAATTGTTGTTTTTTCAGATGGACTGAAATAACATTCCTGTTTAGGGTACATCACTACTTGGGGCGGATTAGCCAAATGATAGGGTGTTATATCATCACGTTGGTACATTATGGGACGCAATTCTTCTTTCTGATCGAGGTCTTTGTGGTAGGTAGGGAAGCATTGGTGTAGAAGACCGAGTATTTCGGGTCGATTACTGGGAGTAACTACTGCAAGGCGGATATTTGGGAAACAGAATGTCTTGTTCCATTCCTCAATGATTTTGGTATCAGAAGGAAGAGACTTAAGTGAATTAAGCTGAGAGTTTGAAAGACACTGTTTTTTGGCTTGGGCAATTATCTCTGGTGTGGGTTGGGAAACAATCACTGACCGTAAGAGTTCAAAGGGGATTGGATTAGTGGGATTGTCTAAGAAGAACTCGATAGTGATGAAGTTAGCGCTACTAATAATCTTGCAGGTTTTGGGTTTGGATAGGAATGCTTCCCATTTCTGGTTGTTTTTGTTGTTTTCGGGCTTTATCTTATGTTTGAGAAGTTCTTCTAAAAGGCGGCTGAGATTCTTATCTCTATTCGATGTAGTATAGTGGCATTTCTTGATAGAGATACTAACGTGGGTGGTTGGGCTATTTTGTTGAGCGATGACAAGATATTTAAGACCATTGCCGAGAGTAAAACTATCGCCCTTGGGCTCTTCTAAGCGCGGATTATAGGCGTTCGGATTCTGAATTGATATCTTAAGCAGGCCTAAGACAATAAAGAGAACTCGAATCAACTTGTTTGGCAATATTTCCGATTGTTTATGCATGGAGTAGAAACCAAAGACAAAAAACTCCATATGATAAAGCATTACTCGATGATATTACCATAAAAGGAAATTTCCAAATTTAGAATTGAGTTAGTGGTTACTGTTTTATGACATAAATGGCATTCATTGGTTCATACCAAAGTATGAAGATAGCTAGTCATTCTGAATAAGATATTGTTTGTGCTTTATGATCTCCCGAGATATTATAAAGCGTAAATAACGATGAAACCAATAAATACATTGTGGTTTTATAGCCCGATCAAAACAAGTGTTGCTGTGTGTTGTGCATGTGAATCCTCAACACCATTTAATTAGCGGTTGAGTTAGTATTAAGTGTGGTGGACCAAAACAATTCTGGCCAAAAATACTCCCCCGGTAAAATCTCCAAGCTCGTCACTTTCTGGCCCGGGATTGCGGATTCCAAGGCTTGCGAGACAGAATACAATAAAGATGCTTTATTTGAAAATCTAACAACTACTAGTTTAAAATATACACGGATAAACTATACTAACTCGAGTTCGCACTATTTTGCGAATGTTTTGAAAGTAGCTATCAACCCAAAAGAGAGATAGACACTTTCAGGTCTTTCGCTCTCTTCCTTTCTTATCTGAAAGTGCTTTAAAGTAACAAAATCTCCTTTTATAGTCTAATTCTTATCTCTTATCAGACTCTATGATATAAACAGATCTAGTATAATCGTTGACAAGAGGCCTTGATTTGCACTACCCAATACTAACCCAATACTTAGCAATATGTTGTTCGGATCGATGTTTAGCAATAATTCATCTTGATCAGTGCCCAACCCAAATCAATACTAACCACACGTACACCTCTTTACTCAAGTGTATGTGCCAGCATCTGTAGTATAGTTCCTGGCACCGGCAAGTAAAAGCTAGTACCAGATTGCCGTATTGGGTTAGTATTGTTATCATAACCCCATATCAATCCAAATACTAACCCAATAGAGAACTCCTTTACCTTTATATGGGCATTACTACCTCAGCT